ATACATACATACATACATACATACATACATACATACATACATACATAAAATTAAGTTGAAAATAATATCTAATTCTTGTGCTCAATCCATCTGACATTTGTCAACACACAATTTAAACTGGTCACTCTTTTGAGAACAGTTATGTCTCAAGTTCAGTTTGAATTAGTAAACTTAGGCAAAACATTCAGTAAGTAATTTGCTAACTTTTGAAGGATTGTGAACCCATCCAAAAGGCTCCCTTATTTTTCTCAGGCTAGTAGTTGATGTGGGGTGCACGGTGCATTCTTGGCTTGTTATTGATGGAGAACATGCTGCTAATTTAGAATTACTTTTGTTTTGTTTCACAGATTACTTGCTGGATAAATTGGGTGTAATATAATCACAACTGATTTCTTGCTTGTTATTCCCTCTGCAAAAACTTCACCTTAGAGTTTTAAGAAAGAAGTGGACAATTGCAAAGGGTAAACATTTCACTATCACACATTCCTTAGTAATGGAATGGAATGTAATTTAGCAATGCATGGTAACTGTGGAATTCAGGAAATGAGGTATCTGAAAAAAAAAAAAAACAGATAAACTAACAATATCTTGAGTTAACATCTTTAAAGACAACGTGTATTTCCATATAGGTTTCCCTACAATTGTGTTTATTTCTTATTATTTCTAACACTTAAGTTTTTGCTGAGATGAGAGTGTCATCATCAATGGAAGAGTCATGAACGAAGCAAAGGACTGACCTGATGCCTCAAAATCCTGGTTGGCCATATTCCAGGAATCTCTGATTTGCAGTAAACTGGCTTCCATGGCACTTAGATCCACCTTAGGACAATTACACTGGGAATACTCAACAGCACACTGGCACCAGCAGTCGTTGTCCCGGCACACAAACTGGCCCTGCTCATTACAGCCAATGTAACTGAGGGCAGCCTGCACAAACCTGGACCTCAGATACTCGGGCAGTATGGCCTGGAGGCCTGAGGCAAAGACAGAAACGGTACAAAGGCATGAGTGACTGTATAGGAAGCTGTACAGAAGCTCTTCATGCACAGCATAGAGAGTGTGCATAGAAGGAAGAATGTCATGAATCATTTGTAAGTTAAATTACTTAAAACTGGTACTCATTTTTTTTATTTTGCCACACATACGCTTGACATCACATGCATCATGCAAAGATTCAATCAGTCTTATTTTTACTCCACAGTTCTGCTACTTTTGCTCTGAATTACAACTGCCTAGGATTCACTTCAGAACTCTGCAAGCATGCAAAAAAAAAAAAGGGAAAAAAGAAGCGAAAGAGTGATTGAAGCTAAATTTGTTCTGACACTCTCACGCTGTAGTTATAAGCCTGCCAGAGAACAGGCACTGTGACAATTCCATCAGAAATTGGGGGAGTTCAATTATGGATGGCCAACCTTGCAAATGAATCTTGTTTTCAGGGCTCTGAACCAAAACAGAGCTGACAGAGTCGAGGTTGTCATAGTTACTGCATCCAAGAGGGCCCGTCCTTGTTTCGGTCACCTAAACAGAGGAAAGCAGGTCAGCAAAAATGGACACCAAGAAAACAATTCATTAATAGCATCACGTGTACAACAAAACAGTAAGAAAGAGGAAAAAACAAAGAACATCCAGAAAATGTGACTAAATGTCTTGCAGAATCAAATTAATAGCATTTCTATGTTTAGTTTTTCTTTGGAGAAACAAAATATGTTGCACACTTTTTAAACTTCCGCTTCATGAAAGCCATGTTTAGGATAATGACTTCATGAGTCAGTAATCTGGAAACTGAGTTGAAACAAGGATCCCAGGTGTAAAGTGTAATGAGTAAGCCACAGTGTCATCTGTCAAATTGTTGTCTGAAAATTGTTCTTTCATCACAGCGTCCACTGACTCTCATAACCTGCTCAGATCCACTGTATGCCAGAGTAAGCATGTCGTCCTCAGCTACATATGCACCTGGGGATTCACGTAATTGCTTGGCTCACACTTTTGTGGGAGATTTGCAATATTGTTACCGGACTACACAAACGGAAATTTGATGAGAGGATTGGCAGTACACTAATTACAGAAACCCATGGACCAATTTGCTATTGTGGCACAACAAATCCATATTTTGATGATGTTCCTCAGAGAAATATCCTTTTATAATTCGATTGTAATGCATTATTTTATTTGCTCAATTATTTATTTGTGGATCAACCAAAAAAAAACATTAACTCCGTTAGGGTTTGCATATGTTCAAGAGACCATAGACACAGCAAAATTGTGTGACATAAAATTAATTATATCACAAATACAAAAATATTGCCTAAAGCAGACTTTACTCATTGTCACATTTATTGATAGTGTGGCGTGCCAACTTGCTCCCACGTGTCAACCAAAGCAAACCTTCAGCTGAGGCTAGTGAAAATATGATTTATTTTTCAACTGATGCAAATTATATTATAAGGCTGAAAGATGGAAAGGGATTGGTAGAGAACTCAGGATGCAATGAATGAATGAATGAATGAATGAATAAACACACACATCTGCAGAATTTATGACACATATTTCCAAGTATTCACAGGTATTTATCCATGTGTTGATAAGATTTTTTTCCCATTAAAAAATATAAAAATGGTAACTGAAACTATTGTCAACAAATTAAAAAAATAATAATAAATAAATAAATCAAAAAGAAATGAACATCAACTTTTCCATTTCACTGTACCCAAGTCATGTTTTGTTGTGGATACTAAACAGAGAAAACAGATTTCAGTGATATATTTTGTATTTTACTTTTTTATGTATTTACGTATATATTTATTTATTTATAAATTAATTGAATTTTGTACATATGACATTTACTGGACTCCAAAGCTTCAAGAAATATGAGGCAAGCCTGTAATTCTATGTATTTGGTACACAATCACCTCAGTAAATGTGTAACAGGTGATGCTGTTCATGAGGACTAGAACTGAGAAACATTTGTCTTGAAGACACTGGGTGGAGGGCAGCACGGTGGCACAGTTGGTAGAGCTGCTGCCTCTCAGTGAGTAGGTTACACCAGTACAAATCCCAGTCTGGGGCCTTTCTGGGTGCAGTTTGTATGTTCTCTCCATGAATGTGTGGGTTTTCTTCGGGTGCTCCAGTTTCCTCCCACAGACCAAAAAAATATGCACGTTAAACTGATTGGTAACTCTAAATTGTCCCTAGGTGAGCGTGAGAGGGTGAATTGTTGTTTGTCTCTTTTGTCTCTATGTGTCCCTGTGATGGACTGGAGACATGTCCAGATTGCCCCTCGCTTATCGCACAGTGACTGCTGGACATGGGCACTTGTGACCCCCCACGACCCGGAAAGGCAGAAGCGGGTAAAGATCATGGATGGATTTCGATCTCTTATAAAGACTAGTTGAAACCACAAAACTAAAGCGTTCAGAAAATGTTCAAAAAAGATAATTGGAATACTAAAATGCAACGGGCAGAGTCAAGCTCTTTATCACATCTAACATCTGTTGAGGAAACTAAGGACAAAAAGTAATTTTCAAATTTCCATAGACTGAGGCCAAAATAAAATACTTCAAATCCTAAATAAAAACATGCAAAAGCCCTATGGCAACAAACAAACAAACAAACAAACAAACAAAAAAAAAAATAGGTTTTGAAAGAACTAAAGAAGAGCATGATACTGATCTCGGTGTATTATTATGATGTTTTATTTATGCATAAAACAGCTTGTTTAAATTGAAAAAAAACTTGATGTGAAATGATACATAAAACAACAACCAGTATGAAATAAGTGTGTGGCTTGATTTGATGTTCTAGAATTATGTATCATTTTATAACATTCACTTTTTACCAGCATCATTTGATTTCTATGTGGATTTCATTAAATTTAAATAGCTTATTTTCCAAAACTGTATAAAAACCATCACATAAATGGAGGGACTGTACTTATATAGCATCTTTCTATCTAGTCAAGATTCTCAAAGCACTTTACAACACAATACGTGCCCTCATTTCACTCCACACAGCTCTATACTAGATCTCTATGAAGCTAATCTGAATATGTAGAGACGAATCAGTGCTTTATCACATTCATACACCAATGGGACACACATCGGAGGCAGCGAGTGGTTCAATATGTTGCCCAGGGACACTTCAGCATGCGACTGCTGTTGGAATCGAACCCCCAACTCTCCCATCAGATGACGACTGCTCTAACCACTCAGCCACAGCCGCCCCCTGTACATGTACTAGCAACTGTGATCATGGATGCTTTTATTTCTGCATGCAGTTTTTACCTTTAATGAATTTATGCTTCAGCTGTGTAAGACAACGCCATCTTCTAAAACTATTGTGTATAAAATCAGATAACACTATGTAAGAAACATGGATTTTTTAGCAACTTTTTGTGCCATTGTGGTGGACTTGTGACCATAATAATATTAAAATTATATGTGATAAACTGGGGATTGTAAAAAGAATGAAATGATGTGGGCTTTGCTAGAAATCTTTATTTTTTTTACAGAAAACTGACAACTGTGTGGGAGGTGTAAGGTTCCTCTGGGGAGAACAAATTGCCTCCTCTCGATGCTATTGATGGTTTAATATGCAGTTTCAAGAGGAATAAACACATTTTAGTTAGCAAAGCGTTCACTCATTCAAAACAAATTCAGTTTCCTTTCTGCAAAAAAAATATATAACAGAAACTGATGTGCCAAACAAGTTGACAGGAATTGTTAGCACTGACTGACACTTTTAAACTTTGGACATTATGCTTTTTCTAACCATTTTTACTTTGTGTCATTATTCCACTCCTGCCCCACTGAGAGACAACTAGTCAAACAGTAATTTGTACTAAAACAGTAATGAGTCTTTTCATTATTTAAGAATTTATTGTTGGATAAATTTTGACAGCAACGTCTGACAAACCAAGAATGTGCTTTTATGAGTAGGAGTGTTGGCAGCACCAGCTGGAGGTGAAGAGACCATTTAGTTTTACACACCTGTTCCAAGGCAGGTTAATTAACTCAGAAAAGGTTAAACGTAGGAGGATATATATATATATATATATATATATAGAGTTAGTGTTTTATATATTGCTTATCCCCATTTAGTTCTGGGAATTAAATGTACTGTTTGAAAAAGTGTAAAGCAGATACTTGTGTGTTCTGTGATTGTGTCTCCAAATACACTAAAGCTTTTTGACAAGTTGTATGCATAATAATCAAATGTTTGTTCTTTAACTTTCTTGGAAAGAAAAAAAAAAGATTCTGCTTCATAATTCACGCCATCTGTGATTTTAATGTCACACCTCATCTGTTGAAGAAAACGAAATCACAAGACTTCTATTGACAAAGCAGCAGATTTAAGTACAATGTAAAACCTATCAAGACAAGTTTTTGTAACAGATGTGAAATTGTAAAAAAAATAAAATAAAATAAAAAAAAAAACATTAAAAAAAGAAGTTTATTGGAAAGAGAAAAAAGGAACTGTGTGAAACCAAATCCAGCTGAGCAGAAGATTAGACGATGTCTTTGTGCAGCATCTGCTGCTTACTTCTTATGAACACCGAGTAACTCTTTGTCCTGTTTATTTATGTATTTTCGTATTTATTTATTACTAATGATCTTGTGTTTGAAGGATATTTTTTCCTCTTTCTTTTGGACAAATTAACTTTTTGAGCCTGTTCAGGTAGAAAATTGATATCAAACCACACTTAATCTACATTTGTAAATATATTTAATTATATCATGAGTACCAGAACATAGCACATTCTAAGTGAACACTATCTCTCTCTCTCTCTCTGTCTCTGTCTCTGTCTCTGTCTCTGTCTCTGTCTCTGTCTCTCTCTCTATGTCTCTCTGGGGCAACTTTCACATGGCATGACAGGGAATTCATAAATGTTTAACTCTAACCTTGAAGTACTATAGAATGACAGAAATCTTGTGAGATCTGTGGGAACTGACGCAACAAAAAGCAGAAGAGGTACATCCTAAAATAGTTCAATCATTTCTTTAGAAAGTAATCTCAGGATTATTAAGTAATCATCAAGAAATGGTAATCTCACAGTTAGATATGGCTGAAGACAGGATTTAAAACAATGATTGGACTATAGAGTTGTGGCACGCGAGCTTTGGCATAGCAAATAAAAAAAATAAAAAAAAGAGATCCAGGACTGAAGAAGTTGAAAAAACAGATGTTTTGATTGGGTTAAGCACTATTAAACAGAAAAATACAGCAATCATACAACGAGTGCAGTCCCAGTGAAGATGCATGGTGATGAGTTGATAAAGAGCAGCTGTGCCAAGTGGCTTGCCAATGATCAGGAAGCCATGCTCGCAGGAATACAGAGAGAACAAGAGAAAACACACACTCTCACACACACAAGAGAGAGAGAGAGATGGAAGCAGGGGAAGACAAACAGCTGGCAGCAAGCACAAAGTCAAAATTAGGAAAACCTCTAAAAACCCAGTCTTCAAATCTTCTATGTGAACACCTCCTGCTCTTATCACTGCTCACTTTTTGTTTGAAATGAG